GGGATGATATTGTGTTATGTATATGGGATGATGCCTATTCCTGATTATATCTTGTAACCGAATAAATAGTAGTCAATTTTGTATCATCTGGTATAAATTCAGCCATTTCAATATTCAAAACAAATTCTTTCTGCATATTGCAAATTGTTAACTATGTTGAAAAGTTCTTTAAAATCCCTTAATACCATAAGATTAGTATATAATTCTTTTGAACAGAATCATAAGGGCTTAGAACCACTTTACTTAAATTTTCCGATTTGTAACCTGCCTTTCCTGCTTTATTTGCATCAGAATGTAGGGGCCCCAGTTATTTGTGCATCCGGTACAGTGCGAGGAAGGATCCAGTTTTCTTTATAAATTGATTTCTCTTGCTTTTGGGATAGTAGTTGTTCATCTCGCCCAAAAAATTACTACAAGCTCTTTGGCAGGTTCACTTTCTTTCTGTTATTTGTTAATTTCATCATTATTAAATGGTTTTATAATTTCTGCTAATTGATGAAGTCTCAGTTTGCCTTTTAAACGTAACTCAGAGACCTTTTTCACATAAGTTTTTTGAAAAGATCTATTCTAAGATAATATCTTCCCTCTGCATTAAAATTCCTGTAGAGCAGTGTTTGGAGGATAACATGACCAGAATGCAGTTACGATTTGGATCCACATGATCCACATGTGACTTCTGTAGTTTCTCTTCAATCAAAGACAATTTTCTCTCAACTTCAGCTGATAATTCCCTGGGTCCTTGTCACCATCTAAGGTGTTGTTTAAATTAATCAGGTCATCAAGACCTATCCCAATAATACACAGTAGATGGAAAATGTCTCCTAGCAGTCTTTGGAGGTCATAAGAGTCTGCAATTGTTCTCACCTAATTTGCACCTTTGTGCTCTAATTTTTGTAAATTATTTTATAACCTAAATAATTAATAGAATGTCCTCTTTGTATTTTTTCAGGAGCAATTTGTAATCCCCAGACATTTTTCTAAACTATGTACATTTTAACCAGACAGCTAATTGTCTCTGTCTATTGGTAAACCATAGATTCAGGAAGTTGCTTACATACCACTTCTCAATGACTGACTTACAACATATTCGCACAGGGTGGGTTCATTTGACATTCCATTGATATCTTTTAGTGGTCTGAGAATTATTATAAATAGGCACTGTGAAGGCAAATTTTTCTCTGTTCTTTTCTTGTAAAGGTATAGTGACGAAACAGTCTTTTAAATCAAAACTTTAAGAGGCCATCCTCTAGGTAATAGAGAAGGCAAAGAATTCCAGACTGTGGAGAGCACATTCGCTGAGTCAACTTAATACCAGCTCTTAGATCTGTTGCCATTCTCCATTTTCCAAATTTCTTTTTAACAACAGATACAGGAGAATGCCAAGGGCTGGTTGATTCTTCAATATGCTGACTATGTAGTTGCTCCTATACCAGTTATTCTAAAGCCTGCAGTTTCTCTGTTGTAAAAGGCCATTGCACAACCCATACAGGTTTATCTGTCAAACATGTTAAAGATGGGGCTCTTGGTGCCTTTGGAAGATCAGCAGCTGTTGTGCCTTGTTCTTATACAACCTGAACATACAGTAACTGTTCTTTATAAAACATTCTAATATTTTTTCCAGAAACATATATTAATTTATGGTTTGTTTCCAAGATTGGGGGAATGTTAATCTAAGTATTCCATTGCTATAATAAATCACGACCCGAAAAATTCATTGCTGTTAGCCACATATGGTTTTAATATTCATCTCTGTCTTTCTGGCCCTGTACATTTGACCCTTCTCACTCTCTACCTGAGGTAAAGTTCAGATCCCTAAACACTGAACATTTACATCCTGAAGAGGCCAATTTGGATGCCAAGATTCTGATGAAATTATTGTTACATCTGCACCCGTGTCTACAGACCTTCAATGATAACGTCATTTATTCATATTTTTAATTTTGGTCTTTGTTCACTTTTAGAAGTTTGTCAAAATGGTTGCTTTATGGTTTCTCCTGAATTTCTTGTTCTCTCTATGTTGTTCTGTTATTTAGAGCAGTGTGGTTTCTTACAATAGGCATTAGGTTCTTTAATTGCTCCATGAAGGAGTTTCCTCTATGATGGCAGGAAATGGCTGAACCAGAATTGGGATAGGGGCCTGCGAGAGATCCCGCAAGGAGTTTTCTGATGACAAAGGATTACCTTGAATATTCTTTGTTGACCTGCATCGCTAGTTATATGTCTGCCTTTGCTACATTTTCCTCATAATCCAGAAGGGAGGGGTGTTCTCAATGGATTATTCTTTTAAAAAAAAAATAATTAAAAGAAAAACATAAAAAAAAAACATTTTAAAAAAAACATGTTTGCCACAATTATAACACTTGACATTTTGTTTTTTCCTCAAACCTCTGAAAATCACCTTTCCTATCCTTGTATCATCATGGTCTTGAGATTCAATATTAATTGTATCTCAGATCCATTCCTCCAAAGATTTTGACCTTACTTTTAACAGCCTAATTATCTTTTTCCTTAGAGAACTAGTATTTTCAAAAGCCAGAGATTTAATTATTATTTGTCTAGCTTCTGAATTTGGTATGATTCTATTTACTGCTGAAGTCAATCTATACAAAATCAGTAAAGGCTTCCTTTGGGCCCTGTTTAACTTCTGTAAATGACTCAATTTTCTTTCTTATTTCTCCAATTCTCTTCAAAGCATTCAAAGCTGCTGTGTGGCATAAATCCAGGGTGTGGTCATCATATACAGCTTGCCTTTCTATAGTATCATAATCTCCTCCAAGAATTTGATCTTGGGAGATTTCCATACTTTTAGCTTTACTATGTTTTTCAATAATCTTAACCTTTTCTCTGAACCAGGTACTCCATTATAATTGTGGACCAGGCTCTAAAACACCTGTTTCCAATTCTATCCAGTCTTTAGGGATTATTCTATTACAGACTGACCACAAATTCAACACCTGCTTCACAAAAGGTGAATGTATGCTATATGAGACTATTGCTTCCTTGAATCTCCTTAAATCTAACATTGGCACAGGAGTCCACTTAGCTGTAACAGAGCCTCTGTTCCTAAAAGGTTACTGGATATATTAAGGATGGTTGTTTTAAAACCTTAGTCTGTTCCTCTCTGTTCTTACACTGCAGCACTGAAACTGGTACTCCATTAAAGTCCTCTGTCTGTATATGAATATCTCTGTAATCTGTTTTATTGGATTTTTTTAAGGCCTGTATCTTAGCACTCAGATTAACCAACACTTTTAGTAATAAGACAAAAATGATAAAACTGATAATGTTTACAGTTGACATTACATAAATCCCCATCTAAATTAGATATTCTCTCATTTTATTCTTTCATTTTCAAATTGTCTAGCATATTATCATAGAGAGACCCAAATCCCTCCATTGTAATTATTTTTCCCATTTTCTGACACGGAAAAAATACTCTCTTTTAACAAATTCCTCTGTTTAAGAATTCCCAGTTGTCTTATTAAATCTGCCAACGATGTTGATGAATATGTGGGGCTTATTTCTGCTGCATGGAACAGTAAAAACCTGAATGGATTTCAAGGCAGCTACCTAGTTTGGCAGCAGCCTGAGAAGGAGGTTTAGGGAGAGCCCACAGCCCAAGGTGGGGGGAGAGAGGGAGAAAGTGCTGGCTGTCTGAAAAATGATCAGGGGATTGCTTGGAAAAAGCACCTGTGGTGGGGTACTTGGCTGAAGGCAGAATCGACTAGTCTAGGGTGCATGAGTCCTGTGGTGTTTTTAGCCCAGATGCTTCTGGAGTTTGGGTGGCATCTGGAGACTTTCGGAGAGACTACAACAGGAAAATCCCAAGGGGCTTGGGGAAAAAAGAAAAGAAAGCCTAACTTGGTGGGACTGAAGCCATCTGAGGCAGCTCCAATGGGAGCCCCACATGCAGCTCTGGCCTGTGCTGGTGGCTAAAAAGCCACAAGCAAAGGGCTTTTTTTGTGAATTCATACACCAAATGTTGGGTGCCAAAATGTAGCACAAATAATAAAAACCCAGAAACAGATATTGGGGTTCAACCTGAAGATCAAAGAAGCAAAGCAGCCAAGCCGCTAGACAGCTCTTACCTCTGTAAAAGAGAGCGAGTTCCTGTCTCATCCCGCCTTACATTCTTCTCTAGTGCTGGGATTAAAGGCGTGAACCACAATTGCCAGGCCTATATTGCTAACAAGTATGACTGCTTAGATTTGAGGTGTGTGCCACCACTGCCTAGTCTGTATGGCTGACTAATGTGACTGTTTTGCATTTTGATCTTCCGACAAGCTTTATTTATTAAAATACAAACGAAATATCACTACCTATCTTGGCCTACTTTCTTCCTCTGTAACAAGATATATGCTTAGGAGACAAGGGATATTATTGGAACAATTTTTTTCAAACAGGTTTTATTTTTTTGGATAGAATTCTAAGAAATGTTTGGTAGAGTTGTGCAGATCAAGTGACTTAGAAACACCCGAGAAGTTTAGCAAATGTGCACTTTTGTCTGGAAAAGATGTGTGGTTTCTTGGACTTGTGAAAGTTGTAGTTTGTGAGGTCCTGTAACGTGATGATAGGCTGGAAATTATAGTGCCAGATAAGCGTGGGTGTGGGGACAACAGATAGTGCAGCCCAGTGGGTAGCAGACCCCTGAGGCTTATGCGTGCTTGTGTTTTATTATATTGCACTACTTATGTATTTTTTGTGCCACTTAAACAGCTTTGTGCAGTTTTCTGCATTTGCCTATCAGGTTTTGCATGTGACATCTACACATAGAAAAATGGCAGTCACATTATACTTAAATTACCCCAAGATTTATCAGAATGTAAAGGAACAAGTTCATGTTTTTAAATAGATTTTATAGAATCTACTGTATAGTAAGTACACATTTTGAAGATAGGGATGAGCTCATTCACCAGAGAGCATGTCATTGCCTGCCTTTCTTCACAAGATTCACATTACATTTCTCACAAGTTCAATGATCACTGATACTGTCTTTATAGGAAACTACATTCTGAATTATGTGGCATCGCAACCTAAGCTGGCTCCCTTTGTCATTCAAGCTCTTATTCAAGTCATTGCTAAAATCACTAAGCTGGGGTGGTTTGAAGTTCAGAAAGACGAGTTTGTTTTCAGAGACATAATTGCTGATGTGAAGAGATTCCTTCAGGTAAGATGGCCCTAGTTATCACCGTGATACAATGTTGCAACTTGCTTTGGTTGTGTAAAATACTGCTTAGAGCTACTTGGTTCTCTTTGTAGTGACATTCTTGTCATTTATTATTTGTCATTTGGAACCTTTATTATGTATTGTTATGAATCATGCTGTACCAGAAGAATAAAAATAATTATTGTTTCTAAATTTAAATATGATACGTTTGTATATACATATACAAGAACATGTATATTGTCTATATGTGTTATATAAGCATTATATGTACAATATATATCAATATATGTATATATCTGTCCTGAAACTCACTTTGTAGACCAGGCTGGCCTTGAACTCAGAAGTCCACCTGCCTCTGCCTCTTGAGTGCTGGTATTAAAGGCCTGTGACACCACCACTTGGCTTATAATGCTTATAATGATAATTACCTAGTTCTCATAATAGTCCTAGAAAGTGGGTTTCATTGTAGAAATGAAAAAAAAAACTGATTTTGTAATGCATAACTGGTACTCCACAAATCTTTAGACAGCTTTTTTATTTCACATCACATCAACTATAATATTTTTCTGAGGAATGTTTTCAGTAAATCATAGCACATGATGTAAATATAATAGGTAAATCATGTATTTCTTCCCTGATTTACACCAGTTCAGATATTTATAGTTCAAGAAAGAAGAACAAAAACCATCAGAAGACTGTTTACATCCCATTCCACATAGTGATTACAGGTTTTCAGACAATAAAGGAATCAGGAGTTTGTCCTTGGTTCTATTTTGCCTCATTCTTAAAATAATTTAGGTATTTAGTGATACATTTTTCATACTAGCGTCATTTTTAATTGCACAGCAGTTAATGGTTTAGTGGGTAAAAGGGCTTGCTGTGCCAAGTTTGATGATTGGGGTTTGAATCCCCAGAACCCATGTAAAAGCTATAACCCAAGTCCCTGTGATCCCAGGAGTTTAAAATGATAAAAAGAACGAAAAATTTCAGGCTGTCAGTTGGTTAGAGAGCTACATTATGTAATTTTACAACTTTATTGAGCTAATATACACAGAGTAGCCATGATTCAGTGAATAGGAAATTAGGAGGTCCACAAAAAATTAAAATGCATTGTTTGATGCTCCCGGAGTTAATCTTTGGTGGTTCTGAAATAATATGAACTTAATTATACCCAGAATTCAGTGTTGCTGAGTTTCTGTGAAGTTAGAGGGATGAGCAACTGTGAGATGAGGCTGAAGAAATAACATCTGTGCGCACTTTTGTATTACTGCAGTGTGATTTGATGCTACATTATTTCCAACTTTCCTGTATGATTCTGTAATAGAGTAATTTGTTAGTAATGTGCACATGGAATCTGAATTGAAGGAAGTTTTGCAATTAAATTGGAAGCTAATTAGAAACATCGTGGAAACTATACCATATTGATAGTCATATATTTACTTTGCTACATTGGATACTCTAGATGTCTTCATTAAGGTACCTAACGACTCTGTACACGTGCACTGTTCAGTAATATTAAAAGAGCCTAAGTGATCTTTTCTGTTATTAGATCAAGAGATTTGAATTAGTTTCTAAGGTACTTATTAATTATTGAGTGCAGGTATCACAGTAGGCTTCCAGCAAATTTCTAGAACAAAAACCATTCCCCCCCATTCTTAAGATTGTAGAAAAAGTACTAAATTGAATGCTATTTTGAAGCTTAGTTGTTATGAGCTGTAAATGTTGGGAAATATTATATAGAGTGGTATGCATTTCTAAGGTGGTATTCATTTTCTCCTTAACTCCATGTATCGAAATTTGTCCTTAAAACATGAGCTCTTTTTTTTTTGTTTTTTTTTGTTTTGTTTTGTTTTGTTTTCGAGACAGGGTTTCTCCTTAGCTTTTTGGTTCCTGTCCTGGAACTAGCTCTTGTAGACCAGGCTGGGATTAAAGGCGTGCGCCACCACCGCCCGGCACATGAGCTCTTTTGGTTGTAGAAATAATACTTTTTTCTTTTTACATACTTTTAAGGGCTATTAGCTAGGCAAATGTGATGCTTTGGTATTTAATTTTTAAAGGTTAAGAACTAATTGTGTCTCTACTTGGTTATTTTTCCAAAGGGTACTGTGGAACACTGCATAATAGGAGTGATAATCCTTTCTGAATTGACTCAGGAGATGAACCTGGTAAGCTTTTCCATGGAATTGGACATGGAATTTGCTTGGGTAATATTGTTTCTTTGCTACTTTTATTTGTGGCAAAATATGTAGTTGTTTGCAGCATGGCACTCATCGTTTTTTGTGATTTGTTTTATAGCTGGAAAATTAAATGAAAATACTTCACTGAAAATCATACCAAAGGAAAAAACACAAAATAACAATAGTGGGAAATAGGATGTAGTATTTGTTCTATGGGTACTTGGAGATTTGCCTTTCTGTTCTTGGAGATATATTAACCATAAAATGAATTGTATGAAAAAGAAAAACAGGCTTTTATGCGTTTATAAATAAAGGGCAAATAGTTTAGAAGATTGACTTAACTATTCTTAACTATATGGCAGGACTCATCCAGGTACAGACCTTAGCAATTAGTCCTTTCTGACTTGAATTTTCAGAAGCTACAGCTCCCCCAACAGGGCTTTCTAAGCCCAGCAGCTGAGGATATGTCATGTGTGTTCCCCTTTGCTGTCAGCATGATTTTCAACAGGATAGAAACAAGTTGTGTTCTACATAGGATCATTTTATGAAGGGGATTGTAGAGTTTGACTCGAGAAACTAGCATCTTCCTGAGTGGTGATTGTGTGTCGAATGTGAACGTGAACATAAGAGCTGATTGTGTGTATGTAATGTGAACATGCATATGAGAGCTGGTTGTGTGCATGGAATGTGGACGTGCATGTAAGGAGGGTGTGTATGGAATGTGGACGTGCACATAAGGAGGGTGTGTATGGAATGTGGACGTGCACATAAGGAGGGTGTGTATGGAATGTGAATGTGCAGGGAAGGAGAGCTGGCGTCTGTCCATTGCCAATTACTTTTGTAGTCACAGGATTTTACAGTTGAAATAACCAATTTTATTGCTGTTCAGTGATGAATTAAAACAAATTTTATAGAATTTCCACATTTGAAAGTCACCTTCATTTCCATGTCTGTCCATTCTTGCTTCTCTTACAGAGGATGTGAGGATTATCTGCCTTGCCTGTTTTTCTCTTCATTTCAGGAACAGCTATTTTGTTGGCAGGGGTATGATGACAGGGGCCTTGACTAATCATAATTAGACTCTGCATGACTTTAAAAGAACTGGAGCTATTTTAAAATTTAAAAAGTAATTTTTTATGATTTTGTAAGTTTACTTTATGAAAGTAAGAGACTAGTATAGTAACCATAGGCACCTACTTGCTGACCTTAAAGCTGATTGAGTCATTTTCCATTTTACAACAAGTAGCAATATAGGCTACCCTGAAACGGAGGGTTCTGAGGTTTCTTTAGTTTCTAATTCCTTACTTAGTTTCTCAGTAACTTATAGTGTAGAATTTTTTTTTTTTTTTGGTGGATTTTTCAGGCATGGTTGGTTTCTTTGTATATCAACTCTGGATGTCCTGGAACTCACTTTGTAGACCAGGTTGACCTTGAACTCACAGAGATCCATCTGCCAGCCTCTCTGTCCCCAGTGCTGTGATTAAACTCCTGAGCATTCTTCTATTGGTAATGTGGATTCTAATGAAAGTGTATCTTGGAGAGCAACTAAGTATCTTTTAAAATATACAGACAAACTTTCAGTAATGTTTGGAGGGTAGGACAAAGTTCTTTTTTGCCTATTTGGTGAGTTGACAATGTGATGCTTCTCCCCCCCCCCCCATTCCTGCAGCCCCAGGGAATACTTTACATTCCTTTTTACAAAGGCATTCTACATGGTCATGATACCACCAGTGGGTTTGTTTTTAAAAAGTGACACGTTGCTGTTTAGTTCTGCTTCTTTATTCAGCCCCAGCATGACCTTAGAGCAGATACCTGCTTAGAATCATGTTTGCTTCTCACATTGTATTAGTATTCTTCAGTTTGGGAGAATTAATCTTCTCTGCATATTACAGTCTGTTTTAGTTAGGGTTACAATTGCTGTGATGAAATAACATGACCAAAAGCAACTTGGAAGAAAGGGTTTATTTCACTCACATTATAATATTATAACAGTTTATCTTCAAATGCAATGAGGGGCAGGAACCCAAGAAGGGGAGGAACCTGGAGACAGGAGCTGATACAGAGGCCTGGAAGGGGCTGCTTACTGGCTTACTCCTCATGACTTGCTCAGTCAGCTTGCTTTCCTATAGAACCGAGGACCACCAGCACAGGGACAGTACCTCTCACAATGGGCTGGGCCCTCCCTCATCAACCACTAATTAGAAAATGCCGGATAGCCAGATCTTATGGCGTGCTTTCTCAGTTGAGGTTCCCTCATTTCAGGTGACTCTAGTTTGTGTCAAGTTGACATAAAACTATCCAGCACAGCCTGAGACGTGAAGATTACAAGCTAGTTGTTTTATAAAACATCTTTTATTTTTAAGATTGTCCAGTGTTTCTTCATTATTAAATCCATATTGCATTTATTTAACAGGAATATCAGCAATGATGCTGTGGCCTTATTGTCTCTTGCCAGGAAGCATATGGTTTGAGTTATCTAATAACGGATGATGCTCACTTTGATTTCTTAATTAAACATGTTCATTAGGCAACTTCCTTATACCTTGTCTTCTTTATAATTAATAAATATTTTCTGGAGAGATACTTTACACTTCTATAAACACCTTATTCCTCACCAAGTTTAAGTTGTTAATATGGATTTCTAATTTTGATGTTTTTAGCATGAGAGAATTTAAAGTCTGGTTTAGTAGAGGAAGGCTGGGGAGCTGACTGAGCAGGTATAGCATTTGACAAGCAAACACAAAACCCAGTTTGCATCCCCAGAACTCAAGGCAGAACTTCCTGGGTGTGCAGTTGGCCTGTAATCCCAGTGTGTGGGATGCAGAAACAAGAACTCCCCTAAGCTGCTAGCTACCTGGCTAGAAGGACCAAAATGGTATGCTCCAGATTCATCAGGAGCCCCCATTAATACATATATACATGCATACATACATGCATGCACAGCATGCATACATACATACAGAGTTTGATTTAGAGCAGAATGTTGCAAATGCTAATTAATGTAGCATTTAGGGATAATCTGAATTGTACCCTGTAGTTAAGAAAGTATCAGATAATCAATTCTTAGCCCACCTTTTTTTTAAATTTTTTAAACAGTAGCAGAACAAATGGTTTCCTTCTGTCTTTCAATTGCAAAAGAAATAAATAGTAAATCAATAACTTTAGGCCAGAGTGTTAATGAATATTGAACTATCAGAACCCATTTGTTTCCTGTTGATAAATGGAAATATGTAGCATGTGTGTGTGTGTGTGTGTGTGTTTGTGTGCATGCGAGCGTGTGCACGCTATATAGGTTTGCATAGATATATTTATTAGGAGGAGTTCTGGAGATGTGCTAAGCAAGTGTTCCCAGCCCCACTATGTAAAACCAGTTGTGCATTTTAGGTTATGGACTCAAGAGCTAGTAGGCTTAGTAATTTATTCTTAAAAAATTAATTTTATTAGCTAAAATTTCAGAGATGACATGTTGTATACATCATCAAATCTTGAGTATCATTTCTACTTTTATTTTCAGAAATTTAATAGCATAAATCAATGACATATCAAAAAACATTCATATATAATTTTTCTGTAACTGATTCTTTTAGCTGATTTACATATTAGAAACATATTAGAGGTTTCTCCTTTTGTAGGTAGCATTTGAGAGTTAGGAAAATTATTTACATTATATATACTACAGGTCAGAGTTCAGGAGTCCATGATCTCAGTGTCTGTTACTTTTATTATCTGTATTATTTTATTATATTGGCACTGAAAGTACAATGGATACCCTGATAGTTTTTGGGTGGGTTCTAGCACTGTCTCTGTCAGTGAGTAATCTCAAGCAGGTCACCTTGAAATCTTTTGCAAGCTCTGTATTTATGATTCTCTGATTGCTAGTGCCATTATGTTACATAGTTAATGTTTGCCTTATTTTCCTATAGGTTTGGTTAAACTAATTCATCTTGACTGTTTTAGGTTGATTATTCCAGACCTTCAGCAAAACATAGGAAAGTAGCTACCTCATTCCGTGATACTTCACTAAAAGACATCCTAGTGTTAGCATGTTCACTCCTGAAGCAGGTAAGTCAGTAGGAGAACTATGGGAATCTTAATTTCAAATTAAATGCTTAGAATGAATTTCAAGTGGATTGTTTACCTTTGATTTTACCTTTAAAAGACTTGTTGTGATCAATCTTAAAAGTAGTAAATCTGTATATATTTTTTACTCCCAGGCTTGGAAGATGAAATCTATAGAGAATTCAGTGTTTGTGTTATAAGCAATAGTACTTTTTAACCTTCCAACTATAGATTGTTTTATGTTTTATTTTATTTTAGTTTAGTTTTGTTTATGTTTTTTTGTTTTTCAAGACAGGGTTTCTCTGTGTAGCTTTGAAGCTTGTTCTGGAACTAGCTCTTGTAGACCAGGCTCTTTTCGAACTTACAAAGATCCGCCTGCCTCTGCCTTTCAAGTGCTGGGATTAAAGGCGTGCTCACCACCAGTTTGCATCCAGCCCTACTGTGGATTTTTAATTGGACAGGCTCATTGAGGTTTACATTTTTAATCTGCCTGCCCATGTTTTGATGGGGATACAGTTTCTATTTTTTTCATAATTTTCCCAGAATTATTCTAATAGTTTCTTTGGGAAATAAGAACTTCCTACTTGTTTCTTAGTGCACGGTGGAGCATGCATGACTTTGGTATGCATGATATTAGGCTGTGTTGTATAACGAAGGCTTCCTTCACACTACTCAGACTTGTTCCTTTGGTGCTGTAAAGCATTTTCCAGAACACCTCACTAAGCTCTGTTTACTGTCTGTTCAGTTCTCTTTTATAGGCTGAGTGTTTTTTATAAATATTGGGGACCAGAAGTGTTCCAGATTTTGGAGTGTTTTGAATCTTATATTTATATAAGATATTTATATAGACTTTATCAGTTGAAAAATTTCAAAATCTGAAATATGAAATTTACCAAAATTCAAACTTTGAGTGCTCAAGAAGTTTTAGATTTGCAGGTTGTTTTAGATTTTAATTTTTGGATTAGAATTGTTAACTGGTGTGTTAGCATTCACAATCACTGTAGTAGGTCTGATTTAATAGCTATTATTTTAAAGATATTCTTGTAGTGTAGAAAAATATCAATAACAAAAGTAGATAAAATAGCAAAATTGATGGTCTTGGACTTATCAACTGATTTAGTAACCACTCACAGTTAGTTCTTTCATGTATGCTCCTGTCTCCCTATCTGATTTCTCTTTGTATTATTCTCTGAGAAGTCTAGGCTTCTCTACAAATACTTCATAATGTCCAGGATCTACTTTTCAGACTGTATGGGAATGGACCTTATCTAAAGACGCCAGGATTGCACTCCAGAAGCTGGTGTTCTGTACCCAACTAGGACATATCTTAGGCCTAGCAGCCACATGGCCTTTGTTAGTTGCATGCATCTCTTTTATACAAGAAGTTATCCCAGATTTTCTTGAAGAAAATTAAGTCTCAGCACTGTTCAAGCTAGTGAATTCTATGCCTTCTTCATACAGTTGTGCTATATAAAGTATTTGTTCTAAAACCTCACATATTTTTCCTATAAGACAGGGTATTACTATGTAACCCTGGCTCGCCTGAAGTCACCATGTAGACGAGGCTTACTTTGAACTTACAGAGTCCTGTTTGCCTCTGCCTACCACGTACTGGGATTAAAAGTGTGTACCACTACACCTGGCTTAGGTTACCTCTTAGAACTTTAGAAGGCGATCTGCAATATGTAGTTAAGTATATTTTTTTTTCTCATTTTAGAAGATGAAATTTGAAAGTTGTCTACTATTGTAGAAATTTGTGGACAGATTTTTCCTTTTTTCTTTTTTACTAGTTTATATTTCAGACTGAAGAAGTATTTAAATTTATGAAGTTGAAATTTATTTGCTCATAATGTTTTGTTTCTTAATTTGAAGGTGTTGGCCAAACCTTTAAATCTTCAGGATCAAGATCAACAGAATCTGGTGATGCAAGTCTTAAAACTGGTTCTCAACTGCCTGAGTTTTGACTTCATTGGAAGTTCAGCAGACGAATCCGCAGATGATCTTTGCACAGTGCAGATTCCGACAACTTGGAGAACAAGTAAGAAAAGAGATGTTTAACATGAGAGTTGGTCAACATGCCTGGTACAGAATTAAGCAACTCGGCTGACCTGCTCATAAGTAGTTAGCTCTGCTCTTTTTTTAAGTGGCCTAATAGCTACATAGGAGAATTGTAGTTCAGAAAAGCCACTGACACTCAATATCAAATGCTTTGTCTAGTTCATAACTGCTATATTTTAATTTAAACAGAAGAAAATAGACTTGTTGGGAAAGGTTAAGATTTTTGTTTGGAAGCTTCCACATATGTAGTGAGAAAGTCTAACAGTTATCCAGTGGTAGTTTTCAGAATTAAAGGTGAACAGATCAGAGTAAGGGACCCAGGAGAGCAGAGTTGTGATTTACTTCCTGACGGGTACACCAAGAAGAAAACAAGGTCTCCTCATGGAGCAGACTGTGTCACTAGGGAGCCTTAGGTGGGGAGGCTGGAGAGCCTTTGTCAAGGAGGCTTTATTCTCAGTTGGGTCTTTCCCACCCGTGCGGCAGGGAGATTGGCCAGCTTTGCCTCTGTGGTTGAATCTCTCCCTCCCATAGCTATTTTTCTTGAAATGTTAAACTAGAAAAGCTTCAGATTTGGGGATATCAAACATGATAGAGAATCAACATGTAAAAATTTTTTTAAATGACTTCCAATTTAGGAATCAAAGATTAATAAACAAGGTTAAATAAACATTCTGCATCTTGGTTGTGGTGATGAATTCATAAACCAACATGTGCAATAGAAATGCACAGACTAAAAATAAGTACACACCTGAGTACACATAAAACTGGACTCAGTACGATTGGGAGATTGTGTTGGGCTCCCTGACTGTGGAGCTGAAGTGTTTGTTTTTATAAGAGATCACCAGTAGGGGAAAGTGGGCAAAATGTGGCATAGGTCTGTATACTGTATGTGACTCAATAATTTATTAGCTTAGAAAGTTTTAATTTTTTAAAAGAGTTGGAGAACTAATATATAAGGTGAAGAATAGAAATAAACTTTAAAAGGGTGTGATTAATATCTCTTATTAAAAAATACAAAAAATATATAAAGAGCTAAAAAAAAAAGAACATTCCTGTGACAAGAATGAACATTTGCCATATAATTTAACAATTTAATAAACAACTTAGAAGAGAAAGTTAATTAAGCTTACAAAGTAGAATAAAAAAAGCAAGATGTTTTGATAGGAGAGAAAATGTCTGTAAGAAAATAAGGTGAAGCCAGGAGGTTAAGATTTGACTATTGGAAGTTCTAGAAAGGGAGACAGAAGGAAAGAACAGAAGGAAATTCGAAAACCCAGTAAGGTTCTCAGCATTAAAGGACAAGTTTATGCATTGAAAGTTGTACCAGGAATCCAGAATGATGAGTGGAAAGATGTGCACTAAGCTTCGTGTTCATGATGTCCCAGAACAAAGGCTTGCTGTGTATGAGAAAGGAAAGATAAGTCACTACTGGGTAGTGGTACTGCTACACACCTTTAATTGTAACACTCAGGAGGCAAAGACACGCAGATCTCTGAGGCCAATCTGGTTTATAAAGCAAATTCCAGGACAGTCAGGACTGCACAGAGAAACCCTGTCTTGAAAGTCAAGAATAAATGGATGGAAAAAAAAAAAGCCCAGCTGCAGCAAGTGGCCATATTGTATGTAGAAGTCTTGACATTCTTACTTGTGTGGTGTTTTAGTGAAAGTAATGGTGTTGGAAAAACCATCTTTTTTCCAGTTATCCTGGAACCAGAAACACTGGATCTTTTCTTCAATTTGTATCACTCGCTCCCACCACTACTGTCTCAGTTAGTAAGTACAAGTCATCCATTACTCCTTAAAGATAAAATACCCTGATAGATTGTTGTTACTGTTCTGTACTGCTGGGGAATTGAACCTAGGGCCTCACATCTTCAGGGTTGGAGTGTAACTGCGCTGCATGTCTAGATTCTGGTTTGTTTTTTGGACAGGGTTATGCTGTACAGCCCATGATGCCTTCAAACTTGTCTTTCATCTTCAGCCTCCTTAGTTCCAACATCAGCCTAGAACCTGTGATTCTTTTTCTAATCTGAAGTGTAAGGGTAATGTATATTTACGCTTATATCCTGAATTACTTCAGAAATTCTTCTGCATTAATTGAGTTATGTTTCTCAAGTAGCTCTTTTATTTCTGAGTGTATTTTGTTACATTACCCATCAGAATTTGTTAATAGTTCATTCTGCTTTTTGATTAAACTCAGAGCCAGTAACTTACCTTGCTTCTCCCACAGCCAGGACAGCCTGCCAACCTGTACCTAGATCTCACTCCCTCATCAAGGCAGACCTCGCTCAAGTTCTTCCTTCTTCTAACTTTCTGACTGTTCTTCAACCTGACTGGCTATATGTCTTAGGTGTGGCAGGGAGTCTCCATCAAAAATCTCTCAGAAGCAAAGCTTATACACTCACTTGATTTTGTTCTCCTCACTCTTGTACAATCAATTTTATGTTGAAATTTTCTTTGCTACATAGAACTTTGAGACTATGAGCAACATCTTTATTGAGTGTTAAAGATCTAGCAATGTTGGGAAAAAAATGTAAGTTTAATAAAACTGTCCAAGGTGCTAGTAATTGGAGGTTTGTGTCTCTGGAAAAATGTTCAAGATTTAAATTGTATTTGTTTAAATGTCACAAAAGAAAGAGTATCGCCAAGTGCTCTACTGTTGAGCTTCATCTCTAACCCAACAAGTCTCTTTTTGCATCTCTAATGTAAGGTTTAATCTGAGTTTCATAGAGTGCTTATATACAGCTGGGCTTGATCCTTTTGTCTTTCATCAGGAGAATTGCTTTTAGTTGTTAAACAAGCATGAAGTCATATGATTATGTTTTAGTATAAAACAAAAAAGTACCTCTGATTGAAAGATGTGGGAGAAAACATCTGCTTTGTGATAAGTAGCATGATGCCTGGTTATGTGTGCTTATCTTACTTCATCCTCATGATGACCTTGCAAGATGAATGACACTGGTCTTGCTAGGTTGACCTGAAAAACAGAAAACAGACCCAGAGTGGCTAATTGACTGTAACATGTGGTCCTGCTTGTTGGGGTTTCTGTCCTGCCCAGTTCCCACAGCCAATTAGCCCCAAAGAAAATCACAGAGAGAAGCTACATTAGATATTAACTGATTGGCCCATTAGCTCAGGCTTCATATTAGCTCTTATAACTTATATTAACCCATTATTCATATCTATGTTAGCCACATGGCTCAGTACCTTTTTCAGCTGGACAGGTCACATCCTGCTTCTTCTGTGGTCTAGACAGGACTGCAGGAAGAGTTTCCTTCTTCCCAAAATACTCCTGTTCTCATTGCCCCGCCTCTACTTCCTGTCTGGTTGTCCTGCCTATACTTCCTGCCTGGCTATTGGCCAATCAGCGTTTATTTAAAACATAATTGACAGAATACAGAATTGTCCTGCACCAATTGACTTTCACCAAGGCAGCAGAACAGACACAGATTAAAGCTCAGGGCTTTTTATCACCCAAACTATGTACTGGTGTTTGCTTTTAATACACTGATGGTTTCCAGTCCCATGTATCAGAGTTGCCTAAGGAGGGTAGTTTTTGTTTTTTAATAAGAGGCAGTAGGAAACTAGAACACGGCCCAAACAGAAAGATTCCATGTGTTTGCTTTTTCTCTCCATTATCACAGACAATTTGTATGAAATCTCCTATTAGAAATATTTTAATATTGGAAACTAATGGTGTTTTTTAAAGTGGGCAAGTAAATATGTGAACCCAGATAAAGCTTGCAGAGACCAGCTTGTCCTTTGGGTTAATGTGAAGACAGACTGCAGTAGCTGCTGTTGGAGTTAGGAACCTAAGCGATGAAGTAGTCTGGGAACTTAGGACGATAATTAGGTCACAGAGACCTGCTTAAGAACGTTCAGAAAATTACTAAATGTTTCAGCACCATTTTCCAGCCCTGTAAGATACATGAATGGTGTGGGATATATTTCATAACCAAATTAGTTATGTGCCTGATTCAGTCAAGGATTTTTTTCTCCTTTGCAGGATCCATAATATATAATTTATAATAATCTGTAACTTAGAACACGGGGTCCATTGGTTCACAGACAGAATGGGTATCTTAAATGGTTGGGAACCTTCTGAATGTATCCAAATCTAGTGCCTGTTTTGGCAGATTTGGCATATAAAAAATACAAGAGAGGAGATAAATAATCAGAATGAGGAATCCAGGTATCCAGCAAGACAAAGAGGTGGGATAGGATGTAAATAAAATAAGAACACTGGTGTATCGACATCCTCCCCGCCCCCATAAGAACGACATAATGAAGCCCTCCTTTTTTCCTTTTTAAAATTTTAGTGTGAGCTGCATGGTGGTAGCGCATGCATTTAAGCACAATACTCGGGGAGGCAGAGATAGGTAGATCTCTGTGAGTTCGAGGCCAGCCTGGTCTACAGAGCGAGTTCCAGGGCAGGCTCTAAAAGCTACAGAGATCCTGTCTTGAAAAAAATGAAATTCTTTTGTGTGCATGTGGAGTGCATGCTTATGTGTACGTGTCTGTGTGTGCGTGCACGTGTATGTGTGTGTGTGTCTGTACAGAGATGGACCAGCATGTGGAAGCCAGAAGAACTTGTTGTCTTTCTCTGTAGCTGTTAATCTTGGTCCCTTGGGACAGGATCCTGAACCTGAAGCTCCCCTCTTTTGGCTAGAATGGCTGGCCAGCAAGCTGCTGGGGTCTGTCTGTCTCCCCGAAACACTGATGTTGCAGGCATGTGTGGCTATGTCCAGCTTCATATTCAGGTGTTTGTGAAAGTGTCATCATCCACAGAACCATCTCCCCAGCCCACGAGTTCCCTTCCTTTGTAAGATTGAAATCAAAAACTAAACCAAAAATGTCAGGGTTTTGAAAGTCAGAGAAGAATGTAGTATCCAAGCAGAGGAGACTGAGAGTTTAAAAATAACCCAAGGAATGCCTACAGGTGCTGTTTTAGTATGGGGCAGAGGCTTGTGGGAGGTGTTAAAATTGAAATGAAAAAAGAGGATTTTTGTTGTTTTCTCTTTTAGGCACTTTCATGCTTAGTTCAGTTTGCTTCTACAAGAAGATCCTTATTTAGCAGTCCTGAACGTGCCAAATACCTTGGTAACTTAATTAGAGGAGTAAAAAGGATACTTGAAAACCCGCAGGTATTTATGAAGTAATTTAATTCATGCTTAGCATATAGAAGTTGTATTTCTGCTCATTGATACATAATAAAGTTTTTAATTTATTGTGTTTCTGGAAAAAAATAATATTGTACTCATCTTCCTGAGGTCTCATTTGCCGTAGTTAGTTTTTAGAAAATATTGCAATATTTTTGATGGTGACTTGGTGCTCTTTCTCTCTGGCTTAAGTGACTGAATAAAAGCCAAGCATTGTTATCACTGTACTTACTTTCTCTGTTGTCACTAGTAAGCGTGTAAACTGCTGAAGTGATTGAGGCTTATGTCTGCTTTTTGAAGTAGGAGACAAAATTAATTGTTAGTATTGAAGTAAGTTGCCTTCAAGTATGAAATAATGTCTTTTGCCCTTTTGTGGACTCCTCAGTTTGTAGCTTTAGAAGTAGACCCTTCATTAGCTCCAGAGCTTTGGTGTCAGTGCACACTTGCAGAGGTGCTCATGAGAGGTTTTGGAGTGCCTAACAAGTAATTGTATCACTTTTAATTTTTTTTTTTCTGGCTAATAGCATTCAGTAGAGGCATAAACGATAGCTTAAAGAACTTTATCTATGCTTCTTGTTACTGGCAATTTCGGGAGCATCTATGTATAGAAGTAAAGTATTATCATTCTACAGAGGCATTTGGGTTTGTTTTCCCAGCTCTTGAAGATTGTGTTTGTTTGTTTTTGATTTTTCAAGACAGGTTTTCTCTATGTAGCCTCGGGTGTCCTGGAACTTGCTTTGTAGACCAGGCTGGCCTTGAACTCACAGAGATCTGCCTGCCTCTGCCCCCTGAGTGCTAGGATCAAAGGTGTGTGCCACCATGCCCCTGTGAAATTTTTTTTGTTAATTTTAATTTTTTACAATATTTTTATTTACTCTAACAATTTTGTCTGTGTATATAACATATTTTGCTCATGTGCAAACCAAATACCCCTTGCTCACATCTTCTTTACCCAGTACTTCCTGGGTGGAATCTATAACATATGCATTTGTTTTTATCTTTTCCATTTTAGTTCAGGTCTGATAGGTGGGCTTTTACTTTAAAATCATATGTTATCTGTGTAACTTACTGTTATGAGCTTTATTATGGGAGATACTTGGCTAGTGTCAGCTATTTCTCTTAAGCTGCTAATATTTCACTGAAAAGTCAATCTGGCATTTTAGTATGCAATGGTATATTTAATACACAAGTGTGTATTAAAAGACCTTGTTGTAAGATGTATTTTTGGAATTTGTCCTAGACGATAGATACTATTTTTCTTTCCCAGAATCCCCATTAGTATAGATTCCTTAAGTAATATTATTGTACCAGTTCTATGCCAGCTGCACTGAGAAGTGTTCAAGTATAGCGGTAACATCTGTAATGTATTCAGACCAGTCATAGTTGCCTGGAAAGGCCTTTTTTTGGTTTGTTCCTTTACCTTTTCTTCTAAAGGTCCCCTGCATGCTGTAGAGAGGTTCTGTTAAACTTTGTTACTTTAATGCAGTTATTTGTTTGAATTCCTTTGTTAGAGGCAGGAAGTTAACTTGGAGCCATAGAACCTATAGATACTCAGTAAGTGTTGAATTTTAAGAATTTTCTGTGTTTGGTGCACTTGTAGGACACACGCACACACACACACACACACCACACCACATTGCATATGTTTTTTGTGTAGTAAGTTCCCAGATATTTTAATTTAATCATCTTGCAGAGATGCTGCTTCTAAAAGCTCTACTTTAGGGGCTGGAGAGATGGCTCAGAGGTTAAGAGCACTGGCTGCTCTTCTAAAGGTCCTGAGTTCAATTCCCAGCAACCACATGGTGGCTCACAACCATCTGTAATGAGATATGGCACTGTATCCTGGAAAGTGTATATATGATAAATAAATAAATTTAATAAAATAAAATAATTTCCTTTTTAAAAAATAAAGGCTCTACTTTAGATTTCTTACTGTTAATTGACAACGACACTAAACTTAGCAGGTCTCATTTGTTTTCTAATATTGTTATCTACCCAACTGCCACAAAGTAAGTACCCATGAAAACCAGGGGACTTAATAAAAATACTTGGAGATTTTTTTTTTATCAGTTTTCTTGAAGAGCCTTTCTTTTGCATCTTAATTTAGGGTTTGTCTGATCCTGGTAATTATCATGAATTTTGTCGATTTTTGGCTCGTTTAAAGACAAACTATCAGCTGGGAGAATTAGTTTTGGTGAAGGAGTATGCTGAAGTTATTGGATTGATTGCTAATTTTACTATTACTAGCCTACAGGTAAGTACAAATGTATAATTGAGATTAAACTGTAATTTTAAAAACCATTTTATTGGTATAGGTTTGGTGGAGGGAGTTTCTTTTTAAATATTTGAGTGCTTGATAATTATTCTTTACAAAGTTTTTAGGTAAAATAAGTCATTGCAACACAAAATATAAAAGTTGGCATTCTGTTTAATATCTAGTCATTGAATCTATAGTCAGATCTATGTAAAGAAATAAAAGGTTAGATTGCATTATGGGAGAATTGCAGATTGTTTTATGTGAAAAGTCCTTTGTAAGTTAATGGGAAGCTCTGTTTCCACTTGGTTTCAGTGCTTGTAAAATATTAGTGGGATTGGATCCTAAGGAAATGTGTTATTATTTTAGCAGTCATTATCGTAAGTGGCATAATGAAAGATGTTAGTTTTTGAATACTTCTTGATTTGTGAAATTTGTGTGGTCCTTAGTTATATAATCAGAATAAAAGTTAATTTTATCAGGGCCAGAGATGTGACTCAGCTGGCAGAATGCTTGCCTAACATTCACAGAACCCCAGGTTCTATGCCTGCTGTCATGTAAACTGGGTATGGTTGTGTGTATATGTAGTAGCAGCACTCAGGATGTGGAGAATCACAAGTTAAAGGTCCTTCTCAGATACATTATGCATTCAGGGCTAGCCTAGGCTATACAAGGACCTTGTTCAAAACAGAAAAACACAAACTTACAACAACAAAAACCCAGTCAATTTTATCTGCAGTAATTTTACTCTATGATTTTTCGACTAGAAAGCTATAATGTCATTTTGAATAACATTTGCTGTGTTTCTTTGTAGCATTGGGAGTTTGCCCCCAACAGTGTTCATTACTTACTAACTCTGTGGCAGAGAATGGTAGCATCGGTTCCTTTTGTGAAATCAGCTGAACCCCACTTGTTAGACACTTATGCACCTGAAATCACCAAGGCTTTTATCACTTCCCGATTGGAATCTGTTGCCATTGTTGTGAGGTATTAAAATATTAAATGTCTTATGTTTATCTATCTTGGAATTATTAAAGATTGCAGTAAAATGTTAAGGTTCGCCGTTGTTGGTGTACAGTTTCTTGAGTGCTGACAACATGTACAGTTGTATAACCACCATCGTACACATGATAGTAAACATAGTACCATCACCCTCGAGATAGTTTTGGTCCCTTTTTAATTAGCACACAGCTCTGGCAATAACTAATCTGTTTTCCTATTATTTTTGCTATTTCTAGACTATTGTGCAGGTATATAGCCATCAGTATTTGCTTTTGAAATCTGGTGTTTTTCATTTGGCACATGCGTTTGGAATCCCTCCGTGTTGTATCAGAGGTTCCTTCTTTTTCATTCTGGGTAGAAGCCCATCTGTGAATGTGTCAGGGCGCCCATTGGCTTGTTCATGGATACTTGGGTTGTTCACTTCTTTAGCAATGGGGAAAACTGCTGGCTTCATTCCTGTGTACAGTTTCATATGAGCATAAGTTTCCATTTCGTTGTGTAAAAACAAGAGGGTTTCCTGGTAGCATGGTAAAAAGCTACCAAACCATTTTCCAAAGTGGCTATAACATCTGTACATACACTTACCTACATTATATGAAAATTTGAATTGCTCTGCACTTGATGTTTTTGTTGTTGTTGTTGTTGTTGTTTTTAGTTTTATAGTGAGTCTAGTAGTTATGTAGTGGGTACCTCATTGTGGTTTTAATTTTAATTTTTTTTAAAGATTTATTTATTTATTTTGTTTACAGTGTTCTGTCTGCATGGGTGCCTGCAGGCCAGAAAAGGGCACCAGATTTCTTTACAGATGGTTGTGAGCAACCATGTGGTTGCTGGGAATTGAACTCAGGACCTCTGGAAGAACAATCAGTGTTCTTACCCTCTGAGCCATCTCTCCAGCCCCTTTAATTTGTATTTTGTCTTTATTTTTTGTCTGTCAGATCTGTTGCCATGGGACTGGATAGACAGCTGTGTAACTAAGCACTGGCTTCTTTCTCAGAGGACTCAGGTTCAATTCCCAGCACCCATCTAGTGGTTCACAGCCATCTGTGTCTTAACTCCAACCCTGAGAATCCAAAGCTCTTTTCTGGCTTCCATGTGTACCAGGCACATACATAGTTCACAGACATACACACAGGCGAAGCACCCATACATATAAATGAAAATGATTTAAAAAAAAATTTAGCTAGTTCCCTTTAAATCTGGGTTATTTCCTTGGATTGAGAGGTTAGAAGTTTGTATAATCTGTTCACATTTCGTTTGTTAAAATTGTAGACACTGTTTTCTCTCTCACTGCCTGTTATTTACCTTTCTACCTTCTGAGTCTAGGAGAGTGTACGCTTTACATTCCATAAGCCCTGCTTATTTTGTTTTCTGTATCTTGTTTGGTGCCCTGTCTAAGGGATTTTTTGCTTCATTCCAAGTCAGAGCTTTCCTTTACATTTTTATAGTGTTAAGATTTTGTATGCCTTTAATCCCAGCACTCAGGAGCCAAAGGCAGGTGGATCTCTGAGTTTGAGACCCAGCCTGGTCTACAGAGAGTTCCAGGACATCCAGGAATATATAGAGAAACACCAAACCAAATGAAATGTACACTTAACGTGTGTAATCCATTTGCAGTTAATTTTTGTTCTGAGTGTGAAAACGTCTACTCCGAGCACTTGGAATACTGAGGGGCATAGTCACAAGCTCTGTGTAATGCGTGGAAGGCCAGCTTGGGTTACAAAGGAAGTGTGTCTCAGAAACAAAAAAATGAACAAACAAAAAGCCAGGCTTTCTATCTTATGTTATATGTGTATTTTGTCTGTATATATGTACATTATGTTAACAATGCGTAGAGTCCAGGTTCTTCTTGTCTCCATCATGTTTACTTTGGATGTGGATAAGGACTGTCCTTTCTAATTGAATTTCATTCATACTGTTGTTAAAAATTAATCCACCACATGTATGGTTCCATTTTGAGACTCTTCTTACTAATCCACGTATCTTTCCACCAGTGCCTTGTCTTAGTTACTGTAGGTAAAACTTTGAAACCAGGCATTGTGTGTTTTTTGGCTTCTTTTTTTTTTTTTTTTTTTTTTTTTTTTTTTTTTGTTTTTCGAGACAGGGTTTCTTCTATACCTCATTTCTTTTTCTTTTTTTCCTCCAGTTTATTGATGGTTGAGTGCTCTGCCTGAATGTACACCTTTATGCCAGAAGAGGGCACCAGATACCCCTAGAGATGGTTGTGAGCCATCATGTGGTTGCTGGGAATTGAACCCAGGTCCTCTGGAAGAGCAGCCAGTGCTCTTAAACGGCCATCTCTCCATCCCATCATTTCTTTCTTCATGTAAAATTTAGCATACATTTGGCAGTCTTTTTATTTCATTTAAAAAGTATTATTCTGTGCGGGAGAATATATGCCTAGCACCTGTGTCCAGGTCAGAGGAAAGCTTTGTGGAGTTGTCTCTGTCCTTCCATCTCTATATACATGGTTCCAGGTGTCCAGGTCAGGTCCGCAGGCTTGTCAGCAAACACTGTGCTCATTGGTCTCTCTGCCTGACCCAGTCTGTGAATTTCTACAAGGAAATTCCTGTTTTGATAGAATGTTACTGATTCCCAGATGGCTGGGACTGCAGCAGTATCAGATCCTTGGTTAGCAGACTTGGTCCATCTGCCCTTTGGTTCCTGTAGCTGTTTGGCTTCTTCTGTCAGTACTTTATAATTTCAGCTTTTAGATTTTAGAATACTTAAGTTAGATTTAGTTAGCACCTTTGCATTAAATTGTTATTTACTTTTGAGAACAGTGTCTTAAATTTACATCTAACTGAGGCTGGTCTTAAACTCCTGATCCTTCTGTTGTGCTTGAATTATAGGCACGTGCCCCCTCCTAAGCTTGCCATGCTTTTTAAATCATATGACACTGTTGTTTAATATTCCATTTTCCTTTCTTCTTTGCCATTGGAGAGCAGCACAGCTGGTTTTGTGTTTTGAGCTCATTTGTTATGATCTCGGTAAATTCACTTCTTAGTTCTAGTAACTTTTTGTGTGTGAGAGGGGGTCTTTTGATAATTTCTGTGTGTATAGTCATATCAGCTTCATATATGCGGTTTTACTTTTTTTTTTTTACCTTCCAATCCATTTGTCTTTTATTTCTTGGTTCATCATAGCACTTAGACATTGCAAAGTTTCTATGCTGTGATTAATATGTACCACGTTATAAGGGAATGAATGTCCTCTGTTTCAGAGATAACTTAGATGACCCCCTGGATGATACTGCTACCGTGTTCCAGCAGCTGGAGCAGCTGTGCACAGTCAGCAGATGTGAATATGAAAAGACGTGTACTCTTCTTGTGCAGCTGTTTGACCAAAATGCGCAGAATTATCAAAAGCTCCTGCATTCAGCTTCTGGGCTAGCTGTTGATATGGCAATTCAAGAAGGTCAGTCTGTGTCACAGTTGTGAGCAGCAGTGTTCTGTAGTGAGGAGAGCCATCAGTCACTGTCAGAGCCTGCTGTGAGCTGGGTGGCACACCTCTTTAATACCCACACTAGGTTAGAGAGGCAGAGGCAGACCAGTCTGTCCTGCTATAAACAGTTCTGTTTTTCCCAATGTCTCTGAGTAAACCATTGATTTTTATTAAAGCTATTGGGTATTTTGGTGACTTGACTGTTGATTGTTAATATTTTTCTGAGACAGAGGAGACAACTCAACATGGACTCTGTAGAACAGCTGTTAATGATCCTCAAGGAAACAGTGTGATATCATTGTCTTTGCTAGTCTGTTCCCATCTTTCCTATAGTAGATTGCAAACTCTGCCAAAGTCAGCTAGTAAAAGAGTAAAATAGTCAAATAGTAAAATCAGATTTTACTATTATTTGGGTATCCGTCTTCCCTGTGTTTTTTATTTTTATGTCTCACTTTCCTTATTATTTTGTCTTTAACCTGACTGAAGGAGGGTATACTTATTTCATTTATTTATTTACTTATTTATTTATTATGTATACAATATTCTGTCTGTGTGTATGCCTGCAGGCCAGAAGAGGGCAAGAGATCTCATTACAGATGGTTGTGAGCCACCATGTGGTTGCTGGGAATTGAACTCAGGACCTTTGGAAGAGCAGGCAATGCTCTTAACCACTGAGACATCTCTCCAGCCCCCTACGTATTTCTTTATATACCATTAAATACTTTCAGGTAGATAGCAGGGACTACTTTTCTTCAAATTTTTAAAATGCAATAGGAAGATAAAAGAATTTATAGTTTTTGCTATTTGTCAGGTTAGTATACAAAATAATGGATTTCACTGGCATAGCCAAATATTTGTGTTATTATACCATGTTTTTACTCATTCTCTTTCCCCTCTTCCTCCACGCACCCTTTGCTCCTCTCTGGCTGTCTCTTCCTAAAGAGAGTCACTCCTGTTTCTATGTCTCATACATTCTGTGACCTCCATTCCCCTCTCCTCCTGTGTCTAGTTTCATAACATATTCACACCCACAGATTTTTTGATACTTTTTAAATTTTGTTGCAGACTCTAGATCTTTCATATCTATTTTTTTCTCTTAAGCATTGCTTTTAGCATATAAATCTTGATGTTTTAGTTTCCTTTTAGGTCAAAAACATTTTCTAATCAAGGAATGTCTTTGTTAACTGTCTTTGATAGACTGATGCTTTTCATTTACAGGTATTTAAGCTTTTCCTGGCTCAGCTTACTGCTTTCTGATTCCTCCCCTGGTCAAGTGCCACATTGTCTGCTCTCACCCTTCTGAATTACTGGGACTTGTTATCTGACTCCGCATGTCGTCTATACTACTTTATATGTTTAAATTTTTGTTTCATGTAGACATTGGTAGTGATATGTCTTGTTGGCTGGCATTTTCCTGTTGTCGTGTCAGTGTGACAGCTCTCTCCCGACTCCTCACATTTCCACCCACCTCCAATCTGCTTATGGCTTTGGGTTGGTGGTGTTTTTTCTAACAGTTTTTGAAGACAGGGTTTTTCTGTGTAGCCCTGGCTGTCCTGAAACTCACTCTGTAGATCGTGCTGACCTCAAACTCAGAGATTCTCCTGCCTCTGCTTCCCTAGTGCTGAGATTAAAGACATGTGCCTCATATCCTGCCTTGTTAATGTTTTTATTTTTAAAGCATTTCTTGTAAACTGGGTGGTGGTGGCGCACGCCTGTAATCCCAGCACTTGCGAGGCAGAGGCAGGGGGAGCTCTATGAGTTTCAGGCCAGCCTGGTCTGTGAAGTAAGTTCCAGGGCAGCAAGGGCTACACAGAGAAACCCTGTCTTAAAAACAAAATGAAAAAACAAAAACAGAAAAAGCATCTCTTGTAAATAGCATATAGTTCTCTCTTTTTGTCTGGAGTGTTTCCCATTTTAAATGGTGGGTGAGGGGATTATCAGTTTAATGTTGTCAGAACAGTTTCCTTAGAGCAAGGCTTCTTCGTGTGCTAGGTGAGTAGCACTATACCACTGAAGCATGTCCTCAGGGTTGGAATGAGGTTTCTCCTGTCTCTAGGGATATGTGGCGTAGGCCAGACTTGGGGTTGTTGCATTGTTTCCATCTCCACCTAGCACTGAAGTTCCTTGCAGCTTTCTGTACTGCTTTCTCTGTCTGGACCAGATTTCCCCCTTACTTTACATTTTCACTGACGATCTCACTCTGCCTTTTGCATGGGATTCTTGCTGTACCTCTCCTCTGGCCTTTAGAAATGGTTAGGTGCCTGCTGTCTCTGAACCCGTGTTGTAATGTCTGGCCCACAAGTTATTTCTGACCAATGAGGATCTGCTTTATCTTCTTGCACTCAGTAGGAGGTTGGGTGTTTTGTAAATGACAGGAAAGGCCCCTCTTCCGCATGCCCCAGTGCCAGGTTAGGTGTACCTGTGCTGAGTACACAGTGGATTTTAGTTCCTTCGTAACTGAAGGTTCTTCCTTTGTAGATATATGATAACCCTGTACTTAATGTGATGTAGCATTTTTGTCTGCTGACATACAGATGGCATGATAGTATTTTTTTCTAGGTGTACATTCTGTGTACATATTGGTTTGGATTGTGTTATTTTTTCTAGGTGTACATTCTGTGTCCATATTGGTTTGGAGTGTGTTATTTTTGGATCATGTTTAGCCAGCTACCTGTAAAAATCCCTTTCCCCGTTTTTGAATCTTGTGGTGTTTGCATTAGTAAAGAGTTACTTTTGTATGGCCAGCAGGTGCTGAACACAGTGCATTGATGTGGTCTTATACTCATTTTTGCTATCTTATTAAACAGTTACTGATCTAAAGTTTTGAACTGTTCAATAGTAAATTGAAGAAGGAATCTTTATTTTTTTAAAAAAGAAAACAAGCTATCTTTTTTTCATTTTACATACTAATCCCAGTGCTCACTCCCTCCTCTCCTCCCAGTCTCTCCACATTCACCTCTACCCCACCCCATCCACTCCTCAGAGAGGGTAAAGCACATTGCTTTGGGGACGGTCCAAGGCCCTCCCTACTATATCTAGGCTGAGTATCCAAAGAGAATGGGTTCCCAAAAAGCTAGTACAAACAGGGATAAGTCCTGGTGCCACTGTCAGTGGCCCCTCAGTCTGCCCCAGCCATGCAACTCTCACCCACACTCAGAGGGTCTAGTTTGGACCTATGCTTGTTCATTCCTTGTCCGGCTGGAGTTGGTGAGCTCTCATTAGCTCAGGTAAACTGTTTCAGTCAATGTCTCCATCATGGTCTTGACCTCTTTGTTCATATTCTCACTCCTTCTACTCAAGAAATCTTTAAACTGCCAGTTCTGAAGAAATAGTCAAGAATGCTGTAGAATAAAGGAAATGAAAATATTACAAGGGAAATTAAAAGATCATATGTGGATGTAATATCTCAAATTGACTCTTAGACAAAGAACAACTAGAATGGAGGTAGTAAGTTAATAAATGCTGAGAATTATTAATTCCTCACTTGGATTGATATTAGAGCAAGCCTGTCATCTACCTGTCATAAACAAGAACAGCCCAGCTTCTCTCATACTGTCTAACCTCTAAACAGAAAGCCTTGAGAGAGAGAACAAGTTTCCTCAGCTGATGATACTTTGGGCACCACAGCTTCTATCTTCTCACTGTGTCTCAGCGGATGTGTCCTTCCCTTTCCAGCTGCTGTGTGTTTTGTGCTGTGTCTGGTAACTGCTGTGTAACCCAGGCTGGCCTAGAACTCTTGAGAATCTCCCTGCCTCAGTGTCCTAAGAGTATAGGAATGATCCACCATGTCTGGCTAGCAAATGTTTCTTTAAAGACCCAGATAAACCAAGAGCATTTTTTCAGACAGATGCAAGCAGAGTGTTCTGCCTTGTGTTCCTAGCAGTGATGTTAAAAACTTGTAAGTAATTTAGACAAGACAGGAGAGAAGTTTAAAAGTCGCTGAATAGTGGAGTAAGTAGAATGATATGCTGAGTGACTGTAGCCATAGCTCAGGAAGTTCAGCACTGCAGCCTTGGATGATTGAAGCACAGGTTGAGGAACTCAGGATACCCTTATCACTATATGAGAGCAGTGGTGAAACCACAGCAGATCAGTATGGAGCCTTTGGGAAGAGACCTGAAGCCATAGTCACGTGACGTGATTGATGAACTTGGTGGTGGGAGTAGCAACAATTGACTTTTCTGAGTCTGATGACAAATGGCCAAAAAGCTAAGAAAACAGAGCTAAAGAAGGAACTAGAGAAGAATTTCAGGTACCCAGGGAAGGATGGCAGTTGTTGTGCTCGTGCAGCTGACATTTGACCTGTGACGGCGACTGGAGCGAAGTGAGCAGGTGAAGAGGTGATGAAATGCTCGCTGGGTCCAGCGGCCAGGAGCGTTGACAAGCTGTACAAGTGATGACAGCAAGGGGAGAGAGGGAATGGTTTGACTTCTTGTATGATCTTGTCCTTTCTTTGTCATCTGTAAAAGGTTCCATACTGTCCGAAAATGAGCCTGCAGAGTTAATAGAAGTTTAGCCTTCTATATTTTCTTCCCTAGTCTTTTTATACTGTATTTAAAATTTATTTTAGGAAAATTGGTCAAGTAACATGCATTCACATTACTGTGGTTTTTATCAACAGCCTTCTATGCACCTGAACTTAGGTGGAGTTTGTCAGATATGAGAAGATTTGGGCTGTGCCCCTTTAAAAGTTGTTTTCTTTGTAACTGTTAGTAGGTTGTAAAGTATGGAAATTTTACTCCATATGAACTGTGGATAGTCAGCAGTGTGTGTTTAAAAGCATCATTGCAGAGCAGTCCAGTTCTGTAAGTTGGATACAGCATCCATTCTCATTATCTTGAGATGGATAATATAGTTAAGTAATATAAGTCATCGTGAAGTTCCTTAGAGTGATGAGAATAACGACAGGCATGCTTAATGATGGGTGCCAGAGGTTTGGTAGAGAAGTGACTCGGGAAGCTGCGTATAGCATG